TTTTTGTAAAAACTTCTTATAGAATTAAAAGATATATATTATCTAATTATAATTTTAGAGTTTTAGATTTATAAAGAGTAGTCTTTTTTAGTATTTTTTGTTTTTCTTTCCTTATTTTCTTTTTTGTAACAATTTTTTATTAATTATATAATTTAAAAAGATTTTACAAATAATACTAATCACTTTTATTAATAATGATTTTATTATAAATAATAATCACACAATTTTATATGATTTTTTCTCTTATATTTTTATATAATTTCTAATCTTTTGTAAACTAAATATGTAATTATTATGAACTTAATACCTTAATATAATAACTCTAGGATTACCAAGTTAATGGAGAATTATACTTTCTATAAATAAGCAGTTTAGGTTAATAATTAAAAAAAAATATTAGATTCCTTATTCATAAATTATCCTTTTTTACAGATATTTTTTTTTTAATCTTTCTTTACTAACTTTTTTATTTTTAATCAAATGATTTTTATATAGATTATTCTATTAGTTAATCTAAAGCTATATATTGAGTGAAACTTGTTAAAATTTATACACTTTGCTTATTCTTTCTTTTACACTTGAATATTAAAAGTTAGTAGAAATTTAAATAGTTATCATTATATTTAATAGTTTATAGTTAGTTTTTTTTCTCTTTTCTTTTCAAAATAGTTATATTAAATGTTACTTTTATTTTTCTTTTAAGTTTTCAAGTATAAGACTCTTGATTTTTCCTTTTTATTAAATTGTTTTTACTTTTTACTTTTTTATTCATGATATTGAATTATAATATATATTATATATTAAGTATTAAAGGAAAAGTATAACTAACTGAATATTTAGATAGTTTGAAATATAAATAGAGGTATTAGTTTTTACTTGTATTATTTTTATAAACTAGAAAACAGTTTTAGAAACTGTTGTTAAGTCTAAAGTACAAGTGTAATAAAAGAGATCAATTATATATTAATTTAAATTTTAAGTAAACAAACTAACAGATATTAGATATAGACATATTTAGTTTTTTGCTTATATTTTAATAAAATTTTAACTCTTTTAGTCATAAAAAAATCTATAATTAAAAAATTTTTTTATAATTAAATAAATATAAAATATATAAAGTATTAAATTATATAAATAATTATTATTAATTAAATAAAATATTTTAATAATTAAAAATTAAAATAATAAATTATATATAATGTTTTTATTAATTTATATATTTTAATTATAAAATTTATAAATATTATTATTATATATTTTTTATTAATTTTTATAATATAATTTTTATTTTAAAAATATTTTTAATTTTATAAAAATAAATAAAAACAATGATTATTATATAAAATTTTAATTAATAAATTTATAAAAAAGTTTTTATTTTAATAATTTTAATAATTATATAAATTATATTATAAAAATAATTTTAAACAATATATTATAGCTATATTTATAGATATATATCCTCCTTTTGATTTATTTTTAAAGTTTAAAAATATCTATTTTTAAAATATTTATTATAAATATATATATATTAATTATATTTATATAAAAACTTAAAATTATTAAAAAAAATAGTTTATATATTTGTAATTTATTCTAATATAATTTAATATTATATAAATTTAAAATATAAATCTTTATTATTTTATTATTATTTGATTTGAATCAATCATTTTTTTTACAATATAATATTTTAATCTTTAGCAAAATAATATTAAATATATTATATAGAATTATAATTAAATGCAAAAATAAAATTAATATATAATTAATTATTTTTAATGATATTTAAGTACTTTAAAAAAAATTTGTTTTATTATAATATTTATTTATCATACAATATTTGAAAACAAAATATTTATAATATTCAGTATAATTAATTAATTATTTTTTAATAATGTAAAATGTGTTAAATTAAGGCGTCAAACTTTGTCGACTTCTACTTTTCCGTGTTCACTAATTAAAAAAATAAGAAAATAATAAAGTATCTTATTAATATGAATATTATGAAAATAAATTATGATTAAAATAATTAGGTATATATAAATAATTTTATTATTTAAATTTATTATTAATATTGAAAAAATTATTGAATAAAATTAACCAAATATCCTATTTGCTTAATTATGTTTTATATTTTCTCAGACATTCCAGATCATTTTGCATCTACTTAGTTTTATAAAATGCATGATCATTAAAATGTCCAAATGGCTTTATTTATGCCACCACCGTCCCGCAAATTAATGTGCAATATACAAAATATATCATATTACAAAATAAAAAAGGAAAATGCAAATGCAAATGCAAAAAAAAAGAAAAATACAATTATTTTACTTCGTTCATCATAAGATACCGCTATCTCGCAATGCATTCTGCAGAATTGTCTCTTTCACAGCCGCAAAAACAAGTCTAAAAAATTAAAAAAGTAAAAATTAATATTATTCTCATAAAGTACATATAAAATATTGTTTATGATTACAAACCGTATCTATAATTAAAATTATAAAGAAAAATATTAGTATTATAAAAAAGAAAATTCGCCATACAAATAATTATAATCCGCTTACGTTCGATGTATCAGTAGCCTGTGTAAGACTATTATCAAATTCAAATATAAAAGGTAGCAGTATTAATCATTCTGTATAAATTAAACGAGTAATAATCATGCAAAAACTCACTGTGGATATATATTAAGTCGGGCTCGATTGGTTTGTGTAAATCTCCATAATATATACTTTGCGGCTTTATTTACATCAGCTCCCCCTACCGAATTTAATTATGATTTAATAACTTAAAATCATAATCACTAATTAAACGTTTTTAAAATGAATACCAGAATACTCGGAAAAATATCTTTCAAGAGGTACTCTCGGTAGTTTTCTTCTGAACAGGTCAATTTTGTTAAGAAACAAGATAATAGAAGTTCGTAAAAACCATCGACTATTAATAACTGACTCGAACAATATAAGACTTTCTCTCATACGATTCTATAATTAAAAAAAAGAAAATAAGATTAAATTAATTAGCTATAAATAAAAATCGTCAAGTATAATTTTAGAAGTGTTTTTTTTAAAAAATCCATCACCTGGCCATTTTCTTCCAGCAAAACCTGGTCGTATTCACTCAAAGCTACACAAAATATAATTGATGTAACAGCTTCAAAGCAATGAATCCATTTTTTTCGTTCTGATCTCTGACCACCTACATCAAACATACTGAAATAAAGTTGTTAATCCATTATAAAATCAAACGATAATAAAATGAATTAATAAATATACTTTATAAAATCATGTCGCTTATATTTTTTATTTATTATTATGAAAAAAAAAATAACATACTGTATGCTTAGTTGACCCATATTAAATCTTGTTTCTGATATTCCTGTGGTTTTGGTTCTTGCGCGCAGAACGTCTGCTTCATCTGGAATATAACCATTAGCTCCAATCCGCTTTACTTCATCAAAGAAACTATAATTATAATTATTATAATTGCAAAAGCAATTATATAAGAAACGTAAATAATCCCAATTGACAGCATTTGACTATAGCATATACTAACTAGGGTGCAGAATCCATCAAATAAAAATGACTTTGTTGATCCATTAGTTCTGATGATATTGGATCACTCCAAACAGCATCAATCGCATCAACAATTTCTGAACTTAGTTGAAAAGCAGGGTCGGATTCAACATAATATTCCAAAATTTTTTCAGCAAATCCCTAATGGTAACAAATTAGAAATTTTAATGATACAATTATTAATTGGATTAGAACACATTATCACTTACTCTATTTTCAGGAATTCGAGGCTCTTTTCGAAATTTTTTCATCGCATAAACAAGGGCTTGTGCCGAGTCAACAAGATTTTTATAAACCGTTATTCGGTAAAGCGCTAACTCATCTTTGGTATAACCATTTTGATGTATTATTTTCATTTGTTTGACTATCGTTGACTTTCCCGATTCTCCTGACCCTGTAAAATGACAATGCGCAATTAAATGCTACAGTTTGCCCCCAAAAAACCGACTGAGAAAAATTAATTAACTGGGTCATTAAAACCCTTCTCTAACTTTTGACAAGTGGTTAGAAGAAAATTTTCAAACCGAGTATGACTTTTGCTTGCGTTTGGGTTTCTAACAAGATAAGCAAGAGGAGTTATATACCTAACAGAAGAATTTTACATTCTTTCTTGAACCTTCGACTATCCTCTTCAATCTGTTTGTCGATTTGATAACTCCGTAACCGTGATTCTTTTTCCTCAGCAGATAAACATAAACCCATAGTGTTTTATAATTAAAAAAGATATAAAAAAAATGAGTGTTTTCTTCCTACTAGGAATTAAAAACAAGAAGTCAACAAATATTTCTGAAAAGAATATTCAAATAATTGTAAAAAGAAATAAAGATTAATTTGCATGTGACCTGTTCGATGTCTTCTTCATGTAAATTACTTTTACCCCGGCAATATTTCCATCGGAAAAATATTTATCCATTTAATTAGAAAGAAATTAAAGTTCTTTTAATTATTATAATTTAATTGAAAATTTATGGCTTTTTTTTTTTTTTGCATTTTAAATATTATGACCTAAATATATTAAAAGTATTTACATTTTTATTTATATTTAAATTAATGGAATTTAGAAATAAACACTTTTTTTGGCATAATAATATAATAAATATTTTTTTTAATTGTTTAAAAATAAAAAAAAAAAAAAACCTCGATTCATCTAATAAAAGAATAAATTTAACATAAAAATCAAAAATTTATAGTTACAATGATCTTCAAATGAACCAAGACTTTTTTTGGAATACACGTGTCAATCATTTATTATTTTAAATTACCACTTCAAAATCATCGAAATCGAAATTCAAAAAACACGGTTGTAGATAGATTAGAGAGAATGATTTTTTTTTACCACATCATTAGGATTAGAAATATCATAATTTGTATTTAAAATTAATCTTGTATTAAACTTTGCGATTCACGTTCATATAATAAAGAATGGAAAGTAACAATTCCGGTCGTTCACGTCCGTTAAGTTTACCAAAGTCTCCAAAACGAGGAAGAAATTTATTGCTTCCTAAGATAGAACAAACTCGCAAACTTATAAACCAAATATTACTTAAGCTAAAGAAAAGGAAGAAACCACCTTCTCCTTTTCAAAATTTGGTTGGTTTACCATTAAATGAAGATAATCCAAATTTGCAAAATGTATTTAATGCCGATGATACTTGCGATTTATTAATTCAACTTAGAGATGTATTATTGGTTTGTGAAATGGATGGAATTAATTTTGGTGATAGGCGAGTCTTTATTTGATCTGATGCATATTTTTACGTCGCGAAAGTGTTGTTTATTAACCAAAATATATTTTTTATTAGAACGTCTGCTACACCACCCGACTCACCATATGCTTCGCGAGAACATTCACCAAATCGATCTCGTTCGCCGTCACCATCGCGTTCTAGACGCGATACACCAAATCGAAACAAAAGTTTCGGTATACTTGAACGCATATTAGAAGTATTATATGATATTGTTCAAAATGACTGTCGTTATAAAGTTATTACACCAAGGCCATTTCGTCCACCTAATGCTTTACAATCAATTGTACTTGATATTGCTCACTTATTAGTAGATCAAAACCCTTATTCGCCGGGTTGGCTGTATGAATTGGGAATGGCAATAATACCTGGGTTTAATTTTTTTAATGATATCTTACGTGCAAGGTTATTAATATTTTATACTGATTTCTTAATCCCACATTTGATGGCTTGTCAAATGGAATTTATAAGTGATGATTTAACTTCTGCGTACCATGGAAAGTCCAATGGAAAGATCACTATGAATGGCAGGTTTAGTGAATTTTAACACTTTTTTTTTAAAAACATTTTCTATGATTATTCATATTAATTTATAAATTTTTTTTTAGAATTTGAAAATTCATCATATATCAACATAACGATAAATTCTGAAGATTTAGCAGCACCATCTCATTCACCACGTTCGGAAAATTTGTTAAATTCTGATGCCGATATATTAGATGATGAACATAGTTTTTATCGTAGGCAGAGTGCGGCTAGAAAATTATCAAGAAGACTTTCTATTTCATATACTGGAGATCTTGACATTGATGCTTATTATATTGATTCAATGTTTACTCCTTTATTATATTCGATTATGCAATTTATTTCAGTTGAGAATTCTTCTTTAGAAACTTTATATCAGATGCATCGAACTATTGGAATTATGGTTCAAAATAAGCCAGACCTCTATAATGATGTTATAGAAATCATTGCACATGGTGATACAATTAGTCGTAATCAGGCTGTAAATATTTTATTTTACTTTTGGAGAAATAGTACTGGACATCTTTCAATTGGAGAAGCTCTTCCAAGTGTGGGATATATGCATGATTTGTTGGCTAAGGAGAAACAAAATGATATTCAAGCAAATTCAAAGAGTGTTTCAAAATCTGTTATAAAAGATGTTCATAATCATCAATTTTTGCCGCATATTTTTCTTGACATTCAAGACAGCAAGGACAATAATCATGCTTCTATTACTGGTACATCTATAGCGGATATGCATGGTCAATTTATACCTACTGAACATCCACATGCGTGTGTTCAATGCTTTAAGCCGGTATCTGATTTTGGTTTACGATGTGGTGGCTGTAAACTAAATGTTCATTTTACATGTTATAATTTAACTGATGGAGGATGTTTGGCAGAATATTTGTTTAATTCAGGAGTACAAAAGTTATCAACTCCAAGATATTGTGACATAGCTCGTGGTTCCAGAGAAGTCATATGCAATGATACTTCGAAAAACAATAATTTTCAGACTGTTATCATTTCTGAGACTGTTGCCGGACACACTTTTCTCCTCGCAAATTTTTTTACTTTGGTATTATGTATAGTTTGTCGAATGCCTTTATGGGGTGTAATGCATCAGGGTTATCGGTGTGAAACTTGCAATAAATTTATACATCTTCGATGTATGAAATCAGGCGAATTGAAAAAACAATTCTCTTGTCAATCTTCGCCCATGAATGAAAATGACGCATTGATAGAACGCGATATGCTTTGTCTTAGTTTTAAAGCTTATTACGAGAATATCTTGATACCCGAAGAAAGCCTTTCTAATTATAGCTTTGAAGAGTTATCCATAATGATGACAATTTTACAAATGCAAGAGAACATATTGCGTAATGGAATTATGGCTGGATGTTTGATTATCAAACAAAAATATCATAATCCTCTTAGCCCAATAACAGAACCATTTGAACGGTTTAATGAGTTGCAAGAGTTTCTTGAGCTTTATAGATCATATCTCGGAGGGAGAAAGGCATCGTTATCGGTAATATCAAGTGAATATTGGGAAGGCATTGGTAAAGAACCTCCTTTATGGTTAATTTCTTGTGAGGATTATCTTGCACATTTAGCATCTATTATTAAAAGTTCGGATGACTCGGAATCTGAATTTGTAGATCGTCATTTAAGCGTTTATACTGCAGCTACATTAACAGCGTCTTCACCGGAATATTCTTATAATTCTACAGGGATTTTGACTATAAAAGAAATTATGAAATGGTTGCGAAAAAACCTTGGATTTCATAGTTCTTATGCTTCGAAGATGTTCTTGCAGCAAATGGCTAACTATGGATTTTTGGAACGAATTAATGGGCATCCCGTATTATTTAATGATGAATCTGAAGGAAAGCAGTTGGGATATGATGTCACATTTCCTTTACCGTTTGTAATTGAATGTTCTCCAACGGTAGAGTCTTTAATAACTGCAATTAGTGCATGCTTACTGGATATTAGCATTTCAACAAACGAATGTGGATTATTATTGATGACAAGACGTTGTTGGCCAGATTCTTTTTTGTCAAGATACGTATTAGAAAGATTAATTTATGCTGTAATCAAATGGGTATGTGATGAAGATGATAAGCTACTTATAATTGCACGTGAATATACTCCATCTCATCTCAAACTTCCTGGAGTTCGTGATGAAATGGAGGATAAAAGGGGAGGTGCAAATCAAAGAACATCATTATTGATATCTAGTTCTGCTGGTGGTGGTGCTTATATCATATGTCGTAAAATGTTGAGAGAAAAATATATAATGAACTGGATGTCTGCAATTCATGATATGAATCAGGGATTGTTTTGTGATATCGTTTTTGACCAAATAGAAATGTTGCATGATAACAATAATGAAGAAGATGTTGTAAAAGTATGTATAAAAAAAAATGCTTATTTCTGTAAAGTATCATTTCCATTTAATTAAATCCTTATGTTCATAGGAAACCGAACTTCAAAGTCATGATCGTATATTAAAATTTATGATTAGATTATGGCATGCCGGGCTACTTTTTTCTGCACTTAATGATATGATTGCACGGTGGTTAGATGACGCTTATCATATAATGAAACATCAATCCAATGTAATATATCAAATTTTTTTGTTCCTTTTCTTGTACCATTTAACATAATTAAGCTAACAATTATTATATTTCTTGAAAGATTTTTGTGGAATTGAAAACCTTATATAAAACCTTTAACTTGTCAAAATCATCAATGCAGCGATATAGTACTACGGATCAAATGCTTTCAAACGAAAATTACGGCGAGATAACAGATCCCATTGTTTTATTAACACAGCTTTTCAAAGGAGATGCCGTTGAATTAACTCGAGCATTGCAGTGGATGGAAGTGATGGTTCGTTCCGGGTAAGGATTATTTTAGTTTGAATTATTTATGTATCGCATAATTTAATTAGTAATGTTTTATTATTATTATTTTTTTTTGTAGTGTTGGCCTTCCAGGTTCGATGTTTTCTGATTTCCTTCCATATTTGGCAAATATTACGCCATCGATCGAACAGTACGTTACATTTATGGAGGTTATGTGGTATCAAGTTATGAACGGCCTTGGGCAGCTTCTTGTACGAAGTAATATTCAAAAAATTATTTTGGACGTTAATGAATTGGCTTTTGAAATGGTCCAAAAAATAAACGAAGAGGGATACGGTACAGAAATTGCTAGGTATCCTTTTTTTATATACATAAATATAACTCCTTAAATATGTCTATAAAATTTTACTAAACTTATTTCATTCAATTTAAAGTGCGAGATCTTTTATCAAAGTTACACTTGCATTGTCTTTATATTCTTATAGTTGCCCATTAGAAATGATATATAACATCGGAATATTTGATTCGCTACCCGAAAAGCCAATTAGTTTAAGGTATTGCATATTTTGTTCTATTAAACTAGCATTTTATATTTTAGCCTTAATGATGACGATATAATCAACGGTATATTAGTCAAAATAAAAGATTATCTAATCTTAAGGACTCAACTCCTGGATCAAATATTACTGCCGATAATCCTTTAATGTTATGCTTGTTGAAGTACGCTAGATTAGAAAAGCTAGAAGTTCGCGGAGATATAGTGAAAGGATTTTGGAGATTTTATACTTCGGCAGGTCTAATATTCAATAAAAATGAATTTATTAATAGTTGTATTCCTAAACTTCTTCCAAGGTAAAATCTTTTTACTTAGTAAGATATTTTACATTAAAATTATTAACTATTACTTAATATCGTCATTTAGTGTATGGGAGGAACTGTCTCCATTATATGACCTATCATCAGACATGACTTTGCAACTATTGATGAGAATTGTTTGGGCAGATTCTGGATTCTTTCTTGCTTCAGTCAGTAAAGTATTCGAACATTCTAGTTGGGAAGTTAGGTAATAAAAAAATTTTATTATATACATCTTTGTTTAATGCATGAATTTATTGATTTAGCTTATATTATATTTAAAGATTCGATGGTCTTGATAACTTGTATGGGCTGTTTTCTAAGTTGGAAGAAAGACATGAAATACAAAGAGCCGGAGTTTTCACTTATTTAGGACCAATATTTAGTTACTTTGTTGGATGTTTATGGGATGAGGAGGTAAAATTACTTAATATCAACATATCTGAAAATCAAAAGCTTCCAATAATCTAATTTTTTATTCATAGGAATTTGTTAGGACAAAGGCGATAAGTTGTATAAAGTCAATGCAACCGCGACACGTGCGTCTAGCTTTAAAATGTTGGGAAGGATATTTTTATATAGCAAGTATTCGTAAGAAGACATTGTTGTGTAAATTAATGATTAAATTGAATGCAAGGTTTCCGGATTGGGAAGGTTATATATTATTAAAGTTATCTTGGTATTATTAATTATCTTATATTTAACTATGTTGCATATATTTTATATATTATAGTTATTGAATGGAATACATTATTAGATGCTTTAACTCAAGAAAATGATGAAGCTGAACAAGTTTCCACTGTTGATATTTTGGTAAGAAAAATTCATTTTTAAATATCATAATTATTGTTCATTATTAATACAATGAGCATTTATTTATTTTATAGGAAAGTTATATGAGACCAGATAGTATTTTGGTTATAGGATCGAAACAACAAGCTCAAGATGCTGGAAATTCTACTCCAGGACAAAGAGTTGCTGAATTACAAAATTTGAAAGTAAGTTAATATTCTTAATTTACTTATTTATTTATTATTTAATTTTAAAATATGTGATTTACTTGTTCCGTTTTTTAGGTTATAATGCTAACGCTTGCCCTGCAGATGTTAGCAAATGGCATTGAAATGACTCAAGATCAAATAAATAGATTAAAATATTTGGTGTTAATTCATTTAGGGTTTAAAAATGCTAAATTGGAATTTGTTAATGGAAAGCTAGATATAACCTCGATTGGAGATTTTGAATATATTCCCGATGATTTTACACAAAATATGATGATGATATCATGTTTAGGAAATCTTAAGAGAGTATTGGATGCACCAATTTATTTAAAGCCATCAAATAATGCCGAACCAGAACAAGAAGAAGAATTGGCAGGAGGGTATTTTGTAGATGTCGTGTTAGAGTTATTTAATTCTTCAGTGGATATGTCAACTTTAAGTCATCTTATGCTTAAAAGTTGGATTGAATTATTACTTATAATTGTTTATAAGGTTGAATGGTTTTTATTTAATATCCACTTCGTAAGCATTATTGAGATTAACTTTTTTTTAATGATTTAGCATAAGATTGAGGAGAAACATAATAATCAATTAGAAGAACGTTTAGTGAGTGCTATGAGGAAAGCTTCTGAATTACTACCCAAAGATATAACGGAAGAAAATAAACAACTTATTATAGAGGTTTCCACCACCTTATTAAGAAGAGCTCCAATGCTAACGGTGAACATTTTAGGAAAATATATTATTACATTGGGAAAGTTATTGACAAAACTAGAAAATAACTCATCAAGTTCTTTAGTTATGAGTGCAAAAATATTTTTACGAACTGCCTTTTTAAGTTTTGCAAGGAACGGATTGTTTGTTTTAATTTTTAAGGTAATCCTTATCAATTATCGATTAATTTTTTTTATTTCTTATATCTAATTTAAATTTTTTCTAACAGAATCAAAGCGTTGCCGATGAAACTAATACTGAACTTGATATGTTTCGAGTATTACGTGAGATAATAAAGGATGAAGTTATTCCGTCAGAAGATGAAAATGCTGAACCAGACTATCTTCGTGTCGAGCCAATAAGAGACGTGATGAATCAATTATTTAAATTTACAAATAGTAAAATTGTCTCGACCGTCTTGTATAACTTGAATAGATACGTTGAATTGGTTTATTCCAAACCATATAGTGAACAGTTAATGATAGGTAAATTGAAAAGCCAAAAAATTTTATTTAAACAAATTTGGATTTTAAAAATTGATTATTTAATTGCTATTTTTATTTTTATATTAGATTTGGGAACATTTTTAACAAAATTGACTAAATATACAACCGAATGGAAACGTGTTGACTGGGACGTTAATCCTGTACTTAATATGATTTCAATTATATTTAAGGATAACCCGCTTTATGCAAAGGTGAAAATAATAAATTTTTTTTTTTGTAAAATTTGTTAAATGCTTTTTTAATTTACAATTTTTTTTTTTTTAAAAAAAATTAGCATTTGATTCATCCTGTAAGGAACTTTTTGAAACACGTAATTAATAAATGTGGACCTAAGATAGAATCATTTGTTAAAGTTTTGGCAGCTTATAATGCAATAATTGAAGTCTCCCCATCTGATACTATAAATGTTTTTGGTGAAGTGATACTTGATGAAATAAAGGCATTTTATAAGGGAGCCAGAAACAGATTGAATCGAGATACTTTAGTAATATTATTACAGGTATGTAAGATTAGTATAGTAAGTGTATATATGACTTTAAAGAAATTATGCTCACATCCTTATTTCTTGTAGCTTGTATTATGGGATATGCAACCATCGACACATTTATGGTTTAAAAATATTGAACAAAGAATTAAACTAAATTCTACAAATCAACCACGCAAACCTTTTTTTTCAAATGTTTCGGAATTTTTATTCGAAGATTGTATAACTTTCTTAGAAAATCCTCCTATAATAAAACAATATTCGAAACAAGATTTTAAAGTCGGAGTATGTGCAAGTCAATTAGCCGTTGCCATGTGTAGTCAAAAATATGAATTATTGAAGAAGGTATTTTTATGGCAAAAGGTAATTAATTTAATTTTTAACAGGAAAAAAAAAATATATATATATATTTATTTACTTCATCTCAATTATCATTTATAGCCAACGGACTCGAGACGTACAATTAGATTATTGAATTGGATTTTTTTGGGAATTTTAAAAGCGGATTCTTCAGAAGGATTAATTACAACAATATACGATTTTCAAGATAATATTTCAGATTTATTGTCAATTGCACTTAAATCGCCATTGAACGATTTTGAAGCAGGGGATGTAAATTATTTATATACACCATCAGGAGAATTGGCTTATCAATCATTTGTTTTAGTAAAAATTTGGACGATTCTTTGTTTACAAAATTCTGAACCGAAAGAGAAAAGCAAAGTCAGCGAAGCACCTGGAGCACATCAAAGGTTAGGTACTAATTTAACTATGACTGAAAGGTTTTGGAACTTTATTTGGCCCAATATTAGAAAACAATTGATTAGTGTTATTGACGAGAATAATATTCTGGTAAGAAAATTTTGTTTATTATTAGGATATTTTTTATATAATTTTACGTTCATTTATTTTTATTTTATTTTTATAGCCTAACGGAATTCCTTATTGGGAAATGTTTATGGACTTGATAACATTTCTTCATTTAATCGGTAGTGATATTGTTATGTTATATTCTCAGGAATGGTGTACGCTTTTAGATAGTCTCATTAATGAGGTAACGAATGATTGTTATTAATTAATAAATCAACCTCAAATTATTTATATTTATAAAAAAAAAATTTCTCTTTCATATAGAACGAAGAAGAGAACAGGGAATTTCACCATAAAATCAAACAAGCAAGATCAATGTTTGATGACCCACCGGTAATGATGCAACAAGAGATGTTAATTACACAATTATTTATGGAAATGAGAGAAGCCATGAGATTATATTTTGAGATAAATAATAGTAGCGCAGGTAGATTATTTGGAGCTTATTATAATTATTCATAATGTATATTATTTTATATTACAAGTTAAAACATTGTAATTTTGACACGTGTTTATAAACAAAAGTATTGTTCTTATATAATAAATTTTAATGACATGCAAAAAAATCCGGCATCTTTTGATTGGTTGAAGTTTTTGACTGACTGTCCAAAACCAATTACCAATGATCAATATCATTGTGAATATCCTTGTTACCGGATTCCATCAATAATTTTCTTGCCAAATAAATTTTCTTTGTAAAATTACTTGAAGTTCTGGCACAACCACGTGGACCGATAATAAAGTAATCAGCATCAACCAATACCAACTTATCAAGTATCCCAGCCAAGCCGGATCCACTTAATTCTTTAGTGATGTAATCTTTAAATTGAGGGAGGATGTCATATAAACCATCTAGAGCCTTTAATGATACCCAAGTTTTTAAAGTAAAAGTAGAATTTAACATTCTCATGGTCTCATGATGTTCTCGAGTTAATATGTGAAATGTGGATGATTGAGCATTCTCTCCTCCATTATATAAAGGATAATCCGTCGCATAATAAATATTCTCTATTCCCGTTTTTAATTGAAGTTCTTTAATATATTTAATTAAACCTTCAGCGCAATTTGGTAAAACACTCGAATTTATAGTCTCTTGTCTCCAATGAATACCTATATAAGGTTTCAAATGACTCGATACTTTTTTTCGCTGCTTCGATCAAATGAGTAGCGTAAGGTAAGGGTATGACTTCACCTTTTGAAGGGAAATAAGCACCTCCGACTTCATAAGGATGTATTAATAAAGCTTCTTCATTGATATGTTCTAAATTTGAAACGATGAATTTTGTCATGGCTTCATTATACTTTCTCCAATATTTCTTTGGTCCGATTAGAAGTTTCTTGTAAAGGGAAGCGTCCTGATCGTCATATTTAAAATCAAATTCCTCAAGACATTGATTGTTTATTACGTTATCCCATTCTTGTGGACTAACGTCACTAATAATCGTATTTGGTTCCCCACCTTGTTGAATCCTTCTAAATACAACATCAGGTTTTTCATGACGTTCCTTGGTCCAAGAAAGAAAATCATCTTGAGTGATAAAATTCACATTGGGAAATAACTTTTTTAATTCTTGGACATTATAATAGAAATCATATGGTAGTTCTAAACAAGCGCCTATTCTAGAATTTTGTACGTTAACCAATACCATTGTTCTATTGAGCATTTCTGCTAATTGTATAAATGAATAAAAATGGGAATTCGCTTGTGATTCTTGTTCCGGAATTCGATGTGCGAACAAAAATCTACATTCGTTTGATCCGCAGTATTTCTGATTTACCAACATATCCGAATTCTAAAGAGAAAAGGGGAACGGAAAAAAAATTATGATGAAAATCAAAAAAAAAAAAAAAAAAAGGATTAACAAAAAAAAAACACAAATGAAATTCATAATTACGTTTGAATTAATCTCGTAACTCTCATTATTATTATAATCATTTTCCAATATACAATAAGTTGTAAGATTCCAAATTATGATAAAGATGAAAAAAAATTTGGTAATTAACGATATAAAACCGTATTTTGTACGGTTTTCCTGTGAATCCATTGTGAACATTTTACTCAAATTCTTTGAATACATTTGTGAATTTTTTTTTTTTTATTATTACAAAGGGACAAATAAAGTAATGGAAACAAGATAGGGAAATAAGAAAGGAAAAAAAAAAAATTATACAGTTTATCATTCATGGTTGGCATTTTAATACTACCTCTTTATTATAACAAATAAAGAATATACCGAAATCTGATTTCATGCATTTATGTGATATCTTTATTTATCCATATAAATCCGGTTTACAAGAATATTTGTTTACATTAATAATACACAACGAGAAACATTAGATAAATTTATTAAAAAAAAAAGTAAATAAAAAAAAAATCTACTCCTTGAATCATTGAAAAGATAAAATTCGGATATCTGTGTACCTAAAACCTTTTCATATTTAGAATTCCATTCAATTAACAAACACACATCACTATTTTTTAACGCGATCCGCCATGCACGACCATGTAACGATACAAGTTTTTGTAGTATTTATTGGCTAAAAATATCGATCAAGTTGTTCACCGAAAGGTTACACGTCATTATCTCGAGTGTTTAATGTGTGTTTAATGCGTGTGTAAAAGAAAAAAAAAGTTCCTGATCTTCTGGTGACACTTGCGTAAAACCTGGAGTTCAATTTTACTTTAAACTGTTGATATAAATTTTAAACCAAGCTCTAATTTAAATTAGAATAAATACAGTCTGAGATATTTTTATAATGGTAAGTAAATCCTTGTTTTCATGGTTATGATAATCAAAAAAGTCTGTAAAATAATTTTTTTGTAATGATATTTTGGGAATAAAATTCATTTTATATAATGACAATAACTTGTACGACTTTGATTGTTTTAAGACCCAACCATGAAAATTTGTTAAAATTGTACAATGGTTTGGGATATGAAAATTTCTTATTTGTGTTTACCTGAATTTAATGCATCGGGTATCAACTAATTTGATTAATTATAAAGAATAGGGTGTAAATGCGTCGAATTATCACTAAATATTGTGGTGATTATTCGAAGTCAAAAAAGAAACCATTTGTGGTGCAATTAATTAATAACGATAAATTTAGCCATTTCAATAATTGACTCATTTCACAAAAAATTAAATTACGTGATCAAGTTTTATTGCAGGATGTAACGTTCCGATAGATATAACCAAAGGAACCAATAACAATTTGTTAATGAAAGGAAAGGAATATACCCTGTTTACGCTGTTTGATCTTGCACTTAAAATTTTTATTAATTTTATTGAATAAAATATGATTTTCTCTCCTCTTTTCGTAAATAATAAAGATGATAAACCTTACTGGAGACTACAGACGAAGCTGTTGTCTATGCCCTCCCTTGCATAGTACCATGCCGCTCCTGAAAATACTACCGGAAACTGCCAAATAGTCTGGGCTTACCTAATGATAAACATGCTACACCCCAACCCGTGTTAACATCATCCATAATATCCAACAAAACAAAAAAAAAGAAAGCAAATATACCTTCTTACCAAAAGACGCTCTTTGAAAGAAAACTACCGGCGAACTAAAAAATGTTGACTTGTTTGAGTAATCATTATTTAAATAGTAAACCGGGGACAATGCGTTTATTTCGGCCCTGTCTTCTGCGGCTTATAATCAACATTTCTGCGGATATTTATTTATATTAATTTAGAATTCTGCATTCTGAAAGATTTTGATTATTATCTAAAATATTATTATAAATTGAGAAACTTCTTTCTACACTACAACTAGATACATATAATTAAGAAAGAATTGGTAATTTATCTTCATAGATTTCATCCCTTATTCTTTTAATTTAATTTCTCCAACTAAAGTTTCCAATTGCATTTCACAATAAATTGTAATTCATCCGAGAGATTTGTTAATTCTTTAATAAAACTATAACAATTTTTTCTTTCTAAAGTACAAATTTAGAATCGAAAATTTGAGCAGCTTGAAAAAAGGACATGATGTGAAGGAATATGAGTTAAATTTGTTTTGAGCTTTTCTTAAAACTGATCAAGAAAATGGATAAAATTCATATGGACGAAAATTATGAGAAGCAGAGTATTATATTCCCTGAAAATTGGAGAGTCGCAAATCTAATGAATGATGATAAAACCGCAATTAATCATTTTTTCATGTACATAAATTACTTTTTATGAAGGTATCTATATTATTACCTCACAAAATCTAAAAACTTAAATATCATTTTATCATTTCAGAAGAAGTACCATCAAAATGTTATTATCACTAAATTGTTTGATTCAAGAAACAAATATTTGTTTCATGATTAATGTTGGTGATATTTACATAAATGACGATAGTCTTGAGGTTCCCTTTAAAGACTTCACCATTTCAAACTTTAAAGAGCAACTCTTTTATAAGCAAAGTGTAAAAAATGTAGTTAAAGGTCCTGATAATATGGATCTTTTGAAAGTTGAGTTTGACCTTAAAAGCCTTAAATATAAAATCAAAGATGAGATTATAAATGTTGGCATGATAATGGATCCTTGGTTGTTATTTGCTAAATATTTTAATGAAAGTGACAAAAAACCTGAGAGAGATCACCTTCATATCATCATTGTAGTCCCTATCACTGGTAATTGTCACCCAATAATTTACCTTCCAAATAAGAAATTTGTAGTTATCATTTGTTGCTAAATATCATCATTTTTTTTTCACAACCATTAGATTTTAAAGAAAAAGGAAGGCAGGTAAGAATGCATAATAAGAACCATTGTTATAGTTGTATTACCATTTTGTTCTATTATTTACCAATGTTTCTACTCAACATTCATAGTTCAAGATATCAGTAGTCAAATTCTTAACAAACTTCAGAAAAGACCTAAAATGATGCTTCTAAATGTTAAATCTCTTAAAGGACTTATTGATAAGGAACTCCCTGAAGAAATTAAATTACCTCTAACTCAATATGAATTCGATATATTAATATCAAATGATATCAGTGATATCTGCAGTTCAAATGATCTTAATGTCTTGTTCTAAGTTAGTGAAACTGAAAGCGCTCTCCATCTCTATGATTATATCTTATTCAGACCTATCTTAGCAAGTTACCTCTATATAATGAAACAGAATATTCTTTTGTTGAATTATAGGATGCTAACATTCAAAAACTTCTAGAATTCTCATTTACGATAGTATATATATTCAGAATAATTCTCAAAACATAAGTCTTAGTAATGAACAACCTGACTATAATTTAATTCTCAATCATATTTATCCATTTAGAGAAGAGGAAAAATTATCTAGAAACAATGAAGATCTAAAATTTGAACTTGAACGCAAACTTGTGTGGACTTACGATCCTGCTCTATATATTTTAGGTAAAACTTTATATTTATTTCACAAATTACTATGCCACTGAATTTTTGTAAATTTCTATATACTAAACGTGATTTTTGCATTTATAGGTTATTATACAAATGGGTCTCATGTAACTCTTGTTATTATTTGTTGACCTCTAGAAGATCATGATGTGCCAGATATTATTAATATTATAAATTTAAATTTAGTGTTAAAGCAGGAACATATCTTTCATCTGTGAAGGATAATCAATTTAAGCTTAATTATCAAGTTAGTTCAGGAAGCAATTGGATTTCGTGAAATGACTAAATTTGTTTCTATTATTAAGTGAAATATGAAATTTACTTTCTTTCAAAATACTTTATATTCTAATATCATTTTTATTTTCCTTGTAAGGGTGGTCGTCAAATGTTGAGATGTTCGATAAATATATTAGAAAGACCTATATTAGTCCTAATGTACATGATCATGTTGAGAGGCTTGTCAATGTTTATGAAAAATTGATACATAAAGGAATACCAAATGTTGATCATCTAGATTATATTAACAAAGAGAAAGGCGTGATATACCTTTCTCCAAAAGGAATGAGCGTAAGACTAAAAGATCAGCAGAAATTATTTGAAGCTATTACCTGTGTTCTTGAGATATTGATAGTAAGTATAGTAGTAATTTCTAAATGAATACTTGAGCATTTTTCATTTTCATCTATAATTTTTATAGAGTTTACATAAAATTTCTATATACCATCAGAACGTCCGTTAGTCTAATATTATTTGACTCCTAGATGCACTTGATGAACTATTAAAATGGATTATTATAGACTGGGAAGATGTCATTAGATATTCAAATAATTTAGCAAACCATCTTACAACTGAAGAACATATTCCAGAAGTATTTTAACAAAATCACTGTAAAGAAGTTAATATCTGAAGTATAAGCAAATTGATTATAGATGCAAGCAAATAGATTCTCGGCCTCTCGTAAAGAATCATTAAATTTGAAAATGACCTGCAAAGTAATAATAGGACATTTGTTAAAAAAGCTTTAAAACAAATTAAAAAGATAAAAAAAAAAAGTTGATAAAGCATAAACATTTCAATAAAACTATATACTTTAGATTCTGCTTAATATACAAATTTGTTTTTTATAGAATATGTGTAAACTTAGAATTACTCACAAATCTTTTGTATATATATACACATTATAAAGAATTCAAAGTCAAATTATAGGTGAATCTTTTATTAATAAAATAAAAGTAATAAAAATGATAGAATAGTAAGCAAATATGATATGCTTTCACTCTTTTACATTTCTGATGCTATTTTTTTCTATTGTTAATATTGTTAACTACAAGATTCTTATACACCATTTATATTTACAAACTTTTTGTCTATTTATACCAATTTCACCTATATAAACCAATAAAAAATTAAGTTCTGTAAAATAACTTTTTAATCTAATCATAAAAATCTGAAATAAAATAAAAAAATCTTAACATTACAAGATCATTAAGAGGTCTTTTTCATTATAAATATACAGGAAATAAATTATATGCAATTACTTGTTCTCATTTTACTAATAACTATACAAATATGTTTCTATTACTGTATATTTATTTATTATTAAAAATACATTATCTTTATAAGTGTTATAAAGATTAAAATTATATATATTCTAGTCAAAATTAATTACCATAAGTACCTAGAAAAATTCTTTGATCACATGATATAAAATTATTTATTACTTGTGTTATACCCTTCATATTTATTAAAACTATGCTATTTTTATCTGAAACTATATGAAAATATCCAATCAAATTTCAGAATCAGGTGTAAAAATCAATATTTGTATAATCAGGTAATAATAATAAAAAAATTAATGTTACATTAAATTATTTTTATTTTTTCACTTTAGACACATAACAGTTTCTATTTCCTAATTACAGTAGTAAAAATTATATTTGTCATATAATAACTATCACATTCTTAAATTTAAAATCAGGTCAAGTTTAAAGATTATATATAATGTAAGCCAACAATTACATAATTGAAAAATATTTTGGATGCTTTTGAAATAGTTATCAAAATTCAAAATTAAGAATAAATGTTCACATATAAGTTAGTTATATATTAAAATATTTAAATGATATTATAAAAAACTGTAACATTTTATCATAATTATTTAGAATAATCTAATTATTTTATAGAAAAGTCTTTTTAGTTATAGTTATCAATAGTATTTTTCTATTTAAAAAGAAGATCTTCTAAAAAAAAAATTTTTTTGAGAGTTTTTTTGATATATAATTCAAATAATAAAAACACTAATCTAATATAGATGAATTTTATTAATTATAATATACAGTAATTTTATTATATAGAATGTAAATTAAATTATCTTCTTTAGAATTACTATTAAAAATCTTTAGATATATAATTATAATAAAATATTTATCATATTATATCACATTCTAAAGTTTTCTTTTTTTGTATAAAAACTATATATTATTAATGGAACAATTAGCCAATCATAATAAAATCACGTAGATGACACAATATGATAATCTTTTAATTCAGAATTCTGAAAATACTGAGAATTCTACGAATTCTGAAAATATGGAAGATCTATATATTTCTGAAGATCTTTCAAATACTGATGATAATCATAATTTTATAAATTAAACGAAGTCTAAGAATATTTAGTGTTATATGTATTTTTAATATTCTAAATCTTATTGTTATTTTTATTATATTTTATATTTTTATTATTCTCAATATATTTATTTTACTTATATTTTATTTTGCTAAATTAGTTAGTTTATAGTATAGTAAATAGTTAGCTGTAACAAAAAAAATTTTGTATAAATAGATAGACTTTTTGCTTATGTTGTAAATTAACTCTTTTGCAGATTTATAAACTCTTTTGCGAATACAAATTTCAATATTAATAAAGGAATCAATTCAAAACTTATATCTTTCTACCTCTTCATGTCTTCATATTGTCTAATGTGATCTCTTCACATTATTTGTAATTGACTTCGTCATCCGAATTCTTTAATTAAAATTATTTCTAACCTCATCTTTCAAGTCTCCATACTTGATAAATTTGTTTAAGTTCAATGCGTAAATTTGGTAAAGTTAAGAGTAGAGTTCTGAATGAGTTGAATCAAGTCAAGTTTAAAGATCAACTCTATTCAACTCATTTTTTTCAAGTCGAGTCAAGTCAAATTTATTTTATAAAATCTTTCAACTCAACTTGATTTGAGTTATATAAATTTTAAACTTGACTCAATTTGATTCAACTCAAGTTTAACTCGACTCAATTTTAATTTGAATTTATTTGAGTTGAATCAAATTCAAATCAAGTTTTGAGTCAAATTTAAATTAATTTATAAATATTTAAAT